CCATTCTAAAGTTCAGGGAAAATAGATGCATTGTCATTATACTTATAATGTTTGTTTAAGTTTTGGGGTTAGATACCCTCCTCTAGTGAGAACTTTCTGCAATTCTACAATAGATCAAGGAATAGCAAAGTCTTCATATCCTGATTTTAAAGAACAAGGGGTTTCATTTGCTCTTCCATCAATCTTCTGGCTATGTCTGTGGTTGTTTTAAAACAGTAAGCATAGATCATAAACACATAGAGCATGTGCATAATGTAGACAAAAACCTGAGGGTGATAACAAAACTGTTAAAAATACATTTACCAGTTCCAGTTGTGTGATTTAATTCCGAAGTTTGCTTTGGTCATGGCAATATTTGTATGTTAAAAAAATATTAGACAGTAAATATTGGGATGTATAGCGTGTTCTTCCAAATCATTCCCAGGATTTTAACCCTGTAGGCCAGAGTTCCCCAACCTTTCTGGCTTTGCAGACTGGCCGGGGTGGGGGCGGAGGGGACCAGCGGATCAGAGTGCATGCGCAGCTCTATCTGCATGAGAAGCGGGCATGTGCATGCACGTGCTTGCCTGCCGCTTGTGCAAGTGGGGGTTGTACACACACATGTGCTTGCCACTTCTGCGGCCCGGTTCTGAATGGCTCAAGGCCTGGGAGTGGGCTGCGGCCTTGGGGACTCCTGCTGTGCGCGGCGTAAGGTTCCATATTGTGACTGGCGCTAATGCAACATGACTATTTTCATTACAAATCACTCATGAAATAAATATACGGCTTGTCAAAGTATTTAGTTTGAACAGGAAGAAATGGTACTGTCTGTGTTAGATCGGTGGATCGGGTCACATAAGAGGCGAGACGCGAGAGTGAACAATCAGCTCTTTATTGTAGCTTCAGAACAAGGACAGCTAAAGTGTGCGAGCTGCTTGGCTTTATACTGCCGGCCGGCGGCTCGGCAGCCAATGGCAGCGCTTTGAATCTCCCGCGATCGGCTCGGCCAATCGCGGTAGATTCTTAGTGCTCCAATCACAGTCATTCAGTGGACCAATCGGGTTGCGGTCTGGGTGGACCAATCAGAATGCGAGTCTACAAGAATGTTAATACAGAACAGTCTGGATTTTAGGAGAGATACTTGAAAAGGATAATTACTTGTAGATGTTATGAAATTATGATATTTCAGATTTTCCTACAGCTAATTTCTCTCCACCCTTAGGCCAAAATTAGAGATGAATTAGAGATGAAGATTGAATTAGTGCCTTGTCCCTGACTGAGGACTTTGAAAGTTTCTGAGCTTATACAATGAGCCACAAAATCAATCAACCACATTCTAGCTGCAGGCAATGCTTTTTTCTCTCTCCCCCCTTCTTTACAAGTGGATTGTTACACACCAGGAATTCAGCTGCCCTTCTCCACACAGTTTGTATTATATTTGGTCATGGCTCAGATTTCCAGAATCTTGATTAATGTTTATAATAGGTTTTCCTGGTTAACCAAAGTTTTAAAACATTAAAGAACCAAAGGAATACTCACTTACAAAATTCTCTCTCATCTGTGGATAGAAGCAATCTAGGAAGAGGCATGTGTACAATGTGTGTGTGTGTGTGTGTGTGTGTGTGTGTGTGGTGTGCATGCATGATTTTAAGTTAGATATGATAATCTTTAGGTTTGCACCATAGTATACCAAAAACGAAGCACCAGAGAGTTCACAGAACTTCTGCCTAGCCTTCATATCTGGCCAGTCAGCGGTGGGTTTTGAATTTGTTTACCACTGGTTCTGTGGGCGTGGCTTGGTGGGCACGCTTTGTGTGCACACATGCCTTTGCGCGTGTGCAGAGGATTTCCTACTAACTTTCTCCTACAATCCTGCACTTTCCTTCAACAGCTGATGCGCGGCAATCCACTATGCTTCATGAAGCAACTGAGGTTGAAAAGCAGGAAATAAAGGTCAGAATAGAGCCAGGGTGGGTGCGATGGCCCAGCAGCTGATCGTCGGAGCAAAGCAGTTCGCTCACAGATAATCATTGGAGCTACCGGTTCGGCTGAGCCAGGCCGAACCGGTAGAATACCACCACCAATGGTATTCTACCAGTGGTAGGGAGACACCATCAGATTCCATGGGGATAACATTTCTATATATTTTGTAAATCCTACAACGGAGATTTGCCACATTACCACCATCACCCAATATTAAGAACTTTTTTTTTTGCCTCTAATAATCCCTGCATTGGGTGGGACAAAGACTCATTCTGCATTTAAAAGTATTGAAAACCAAGGAATAAACAGGAAATATAAATGATTGCATTGCTGCCCCAAAAAGTACAGATGCTTTTGTTGCAGATAACAATATTTGGCTAGTAAACATGAACCTTGGTTTTTTTTTTTTGGTAAAACATAAGTGAAGCTTTGGTTGGAAAATTAGTGTGTATAATTTTCAGATCGAGTTTGTACCTGGGACATTCCAAGTCAGTCTCAACATTCAGGTCAAATCAAGATCAAAGCAAGCACATATGCCACTCAAAATAGTTAGCAAAAATATGACTCGGTGTTTATTAAACACCAGCAAATATCAAAACAGTTAGCTAGCCTAATAGAGTAGGAAGAAGACAAATGCAAGGGGTGGGTGATGGAGTGTGACATGAACAATAGAATCTCTATCATTTGTCTGTGTTTGTTATCTAATATCTAACTTTCCAGAATGATTGAAAAACAATATAATATCAGATAGTTTCTAAAAAGAGTGACTTTTGCTTATTCCTTCTATACTGCCCAGAGGCACTTTGCTAGTGAGATTGGTGGTCTCTAAATTTAAGAGATAAATAAATTGCACTCTTAAACTTTTTATGTGTAGAATAGGAGCAGAATGGGTTGGAAAGTAGCAGACAAGATGATCTCCCCCTCTGCTTGGCATCATGAAGAAATAATTTGGTGAAGGAGAATGATGGATCCAACAGTTTTGCTCTTCTGTACAGTTCTCTTTAATCTCTTCCCTCTTTTTCTCCCTTTTCTGTAATTTCTTCTTGAAAGAGAAAGGGGAAAATGCAGTATTTTACAGATTGGTTCTCTGAAGGTTACAGCAACTACTTGTCAAGAGATCCCCTCACACTGGTGAGTAATTTATTAGAAGATTAGTTTAATTTTTGAATTTTGAAACAATATATTAACAGCTCTGAAAAATGGGGAAGTAGATGTGCCCTGGCTCATTGAAGCACTTAGCTGGCATCTCCACTGTGGTCCACCTGTTTATCTGGCCTCAAATGCAAATTTACTTTACTCCAGTGTGCCTCCTGAATCTTCTTTCCACAAGGACTTGAAGTGAAAACGTGTGAAGGCCACGTCAAACTTTATCCTGTGGGCAGGAATAATAAAGTATTTTGGCAAGCTCACAACTGCAGATAAGTAATATTTAATGAAGAAACTTGAGAAACTTGAGAGCCTCAAGCAAAGAATTTCAACAAGTGTTGTAATTTAAGAAGCTCTATGTGTTGAAACAATATCCTAGCCGACCCCCTGTGGGCTTGCTTTTCCTTTTTACTAAGCTAGGCCCCTTCTTTTGAGTGAGTTGGCTTTTATTTTTGTAACTCTTACGTTGGATACTAAGCTATTCTTTGCTGGCTGCCAGAGAACCAATTTTTCAGCCACTTTGTCTTAAGTTAACTTAGAAGAGAAGAACCAAATAGTTGGGTTGCTAGACTAAAACATGCTATGGCAATACTAAAATGTAATAGTAGATTGAAATATTGCACTAGGAACTGAAATAGTGTTTGCATTTTAATTTGGAGAGCTTCCTGGGCAGAAAAATGAATAAGATGAAGAAACCATATTATCATCATATAAGGAAGACATTTCTCCTTGATTTGGTTATAGCAGGCATTAGCAATTTTATTTTAATAGTTGAAGGCCAACCCTGTTGTTGTAGGATCTGTTTTCTTGTAGTACAATGAACCATGAATGTCTGAAATCTTTAAATGCCTCAAGGCAAAACTAGTTAATTGAGGTTGTGTGACGTTCAATATACTACAGTGGTGTTGGCTAATTTGCAAGTATATCCATATGTGCAAATCCAGCTCCTGTGGTTAATTTGTCTTGGACAAATCTGAATAAATTTATTTACTCAATCATGATTTGGTTAACCAATATTTGCATATTTTGGGAATGCAGTTCTTAGAAAGTTCATCTTCTCTATCAACCCTTTTATACATCTCCTAAATTCTATTATGTTACTAAGCATAGCTTACTAAGCATACTAAATGCTTGTCTTCTACCTCAAATTTCTCCATTCAGAGGTTATACATTATACATTTATAATTAGATTATGAGTCTCTTGGGGCGAGGAACTCTGTCCCAATGCTCTCTGGATAAAATATTTGAGATGTCCATTTCTACTCAGGAACTGAGTAGTTTCTACTTTACCTCTGAGGCAGACACAGCCTCACCCTAAGCTGACTCATGAGAAATTTTGCTCATTTAGAATTGATAGGAAAAATAATTGTTTACAGTATCTTGAACGACTTTGGGGAAAAGGGGGAAATACAAACATAAACCACATTAAAAAAAGGAGCAAGAGTACAAGTGGGAGGAATCAGGTCCATAATATCTTTTTTTCATGCTCACTTACAACTGTGGCATATTATTGACAGCCTTGAGATAAGCTCTAGGCATCAAAATAGAATGAAATAGTTCCAGTTAGAAGTCTGTTACTTATTATATCTTAACAAATGTTCTTTCACAATTATATCTGTCCTTGTAAGGATCAATTGATAATTATGTTAAGATTGAACAAGAGAAAATATTTACATAGGAGCTGCAGTAAACAAAACAAAATTGACTTAAAATTAAAGCTGTTAAATTCAGAAAAAGCCTAGAATATGTTATAGCTTCCAGTAACAACTGAACTTCCCTATGACTCATCTTCAGTGTTGATTTCTACGAAAAAGGAGGAGTTCTTTTTGAAAGGTACTGGGGTGGGAGGGTGGGACTATTACACTATTTAAATGCCTTGTCAGAGTAAAACAGCTGTTTCTTTAGGACAGTCACCATAATAAAAACCAGAAAAGAAAGTAACTTTTAAAAAAAGCTTAACAATCTCAAAGATGAAGTTTATGTGGCAGATTTTTGCAATATTTTATGGAACATATGGCTATCAGCTCATTCCCAGGATTAAAGAATGTGGAGTCACTTGTTCACAGGTATGTTACAATTTGATTTATATCTGCAGTTTCTAAACAGTATCATCCTTTCTCCATTATCTGATTCACTGAGCAACGTGTGTATTTGCTACAGCTTTGTGTCCATAGAGAAAGATGTCAATCTTTTAGGCACAATCTTTTTTCTAAAGTATAACTCTGTATAGTGCTAGGTTTCAGAAAAACCTCAGGGTTACATTTTCAGAGAATTAATAGATTTCTTATGTTGCATATTGGGGCTGGTAATTCTTGAATCCATATTGACTATATTATTACCATAAAATATCAGTGATGTTTCTAGATTCTGCATATATATATATATATATGATGAAAATCAAAATCATTTATTACTTTGATGAATATAAAATCATTAATTTTTGTTATAATTTGAGTCAAAATAAGCTGTATATTTAGTATGTTTACATGGTAATTTGAATATATAATGCTTAGGTTTGGTCTTTCTGGGCACCAATTGTGTTTTTTTAAAAAATACATTATTTCTACTGCACTTTTAGCATGCAGTATCTTGAAAATGGTGGTTTTCTAAATTAACTCCACTTGAGGGCAGCAGCCTTGCAGATCGTCTGAGTTAGAAGTCAAAATTGTGAAAGGCTAATGGATGCTTGAAAAACTGAGTTGTGAACCACAAAATGTTAGAATGGGTTTGCTAGCAGAATGTCTGAAGCAGAGCTGGAAGTCCAACATTGATGAGGATTTTTCCTCAGAGCAGAAATGCTTCAATTTACCAAGAAAGATGGGAACAAACCCACACTATTGTTTCCCAGGACAGACAGAGTTAGTTCTGTGGGCTAATTATTTGGTGGTGTTATTTTTAGAGAAAGAAGGCTAAATTCTTTGGATTATTTAAATGTTTTGGCATAAGTTAATTTCTGCCTGGTAAAAAAACGCCATGAGTATTATCAATGATGTACACTATAATATTATTTGAAGAGATGATTTGTAAGGTACGATGTTGAGCTGCACACGCCCTCATTCTAACTTTGGTATTTCATCATTTGAAGGGTTATCAGCTGAAGCTGACTGACACAATTCACCAATCTTGTGTTTAATGGACTCTAGGGAAAGCAATGATGGCTTGATTAGTTGGTGTTGATCCACATTTGCAATTTATGTAGTATATGTACATGAATGTGCTATAGTTGATTCAGATTAATGTTGTGCACCAGCTTGGATTTAAAGAGTAAAAGGTGCTTTGGAGCATTTCAGGGTATACACCCATAGTATCTGCCACAGCTCCTTAAACTAAAAGTATTTGGAATATACAGCAGCTGTGAAAGGCAGCTATATGATCCCAAGAAAAGGCAGAGCTGCTTTAAGGAGGAACAAGGAACTTTGGTCATGCTTCAAAAAACATCTTGCCTTTAAATTTAAAGGTCTGCCCAGTCCTCACTCAGGTGTTTGTTAATGAATTGTTTCACGTGGCTAAGCAAACCCAAATGCAGCTGCCTGTACTCTGATGTTGGAATAGGACTGAGGAGTCTACCTCAGCCATGGAAGTTCATTGTCTTCTGTGAATAACATTTTTCAAATGTCATGGGGAGGGGAAAGGAAAGAAGATTGTCCCTTCAACTTCCCGAAGAAAATCTGGGGATATAAATCTAAACAAACCCAAGAAATCCTTACCTGACAAATTGTCATCCAGCATTCAATACAAAATAATTGTTTGATACTACCGGAGTTTTGCTCTTTCCTCAAACACTGCAGATATTTACCCAGATAGCCACAACAATGTTGGGATGTGAGAGAGAGAAAAAAAAAAGGGGGGGGGGGGGAGGGGGAATTGCAATGTCAGCAATTTAATCAGCAAATAATCTCATGCTACTCTTTTATGTGTGTTGATCATGAAAGTTACTATTGATTTAAATTTACCTGAAAGGATCCTTATAAATCTTTGCCAATCTGGTCTCCCTTAAATGTTTTTAAGACTAACTCCCTAAATTGCTAATCACCTGGAAGATCCAAGTTGAGAAAGCTGCCACTGCACAAGATTGCACTGTTAATAAGCTACATTACCTAATGTTCTTTTTAAAGCAGAACCTATAAGGGAAATCCCCTGATTTGACTTGTATCCTGGTGCAGTTAATTTTGCAACTCGTGTCTGGTGAACTTCTATGTGTGAAGAATGGATAGTTTGCTACATTCTGGTTCCCGGGAGGTGGGTATGGGTATGTTTGATGCACTGAAAATGATAAACACTTACAACTTTTCCTTTATTTCCCACGATTAAAATACATTTTCAAAGGAGGAAATAGCAATATTTTACACGGGGTTTCCCTGCCAAAGGAAAGTTGATTAAAAATCAGTTAATGAATCATGAGGGAGCTCTTTCCCAATCAGATGTGGCTTCAGTTCTTCACCTTTGGTATGGTTCAGCTTAATGACCTGTGTGTTGTAACCTGTACAATTTGAGCAACTAGGAGAAAACAGCTTTAAAGTAAAAGTAAAGCCAAACTCAAAAGATTTGCCTATAAACTGGTCTGTGTTGATTCATGTCACATCTTCATTTTTTGCTGATTTATTTTGAAAGAGGATTCCAATTAAAGCCACTTGCTGATCAGAACAAAAGAAAAAAAAAACAGCACTGACTCACCAGAACTGAACAAATTATCCAATTGTTTTCCAAAAGAGGGCAGGGAAGAAAGGAAGCCCTGTAAATGTGTTTTACTCCGTGATGCTTAATGGATACTCATATAATCCCTCATGTAATACTACTCCACAATACCTCAGCAAAGTCCCTATGTTTCATTGGCACTTCTTCAGAAAATGCTGTGGTCTGTAGAGTTCAATTCAAGTTTTAAAAAATCATATGAAAAAAGATCACATTAGAATGGCAACTAAGCCATGGCACACATTGGTTTATAGTGGATTGAAATATTTTTTAAACAAGTGCAATTTAATGGGACTTTTGAAATCTTTTCAGGGTCTGAAATTATTTCTAAAAAGAAGAAAAATAAGGTAGTAGCAGTCATAAACCAAATAGTCCATTCATTTGAGTAAAAGCAGACTATTTCTTGATCCAATTGTAGGCCGCTAAATTAAAAATACGAAGAATGCCATTGACTTCAATCAAACAAGTTCACACATTGCATTTTTCTATTTTGATTGATGTCTAGATATATTCTTATGCAGATAAGTTTTGGATAAGGTTGTCTCCATGATGATGCAACTATAAGCAGATTTCTAGTGTACAAGTTGTATTGTTTTTTCCTGCCTTGTTGTGTGTCCTTATAGATCTTCACAAATACCCACCCTAAAGACTTCCAATTCCCCATCAAGGATACACATTTCTATATTCACCTTTTCTCATCCAAATAATAAACATTTATAATTTAATGGAGAGTTATTCCAGTAATGTGCAAGAATATTGCAAGGAAGGGGTCATTGTACCAATTTCTTGGTTTGATGTGGCACCAAAGCTTTATTGAATTTGGTCAGTCCAGCCAGACGGGGTGACTATTCTAAATGAAAAAAAGATTATATCATTAGTGTATGAATTGGAAAAATACCGGTAGAGTTGGGGCAATTTGTCCTGTGGCCCCAGCTTCTGCTAGTTTGGATCACACATTAACTTTGTGCCCACAACCACGAGTGTCATACAAATTACTCAGCAGAGTCACAAGAACATTGTGTAAGCCAGGCAAAGAATTTCTGAAAATATATACATTGGAAAAATGAACACATTTCAGATCCCATTTTTGCAGTTTTGAGATGGTCAAATTCTTTTCAGGTAAAATATTATGAGATGAACCTCATTTTAGAAGATAATAAGAAAATGACCTTTAAGGCATGGAATAGCACATCCAGCTATTTCATGTAGGCCTGGAGATCTTCCATTTCAGACAAGGGACAACAAGTGACCAAAATCCAACAGCAAGTTTTTGTTTTACAGAAAGGAGAAGCAAAAAAAAAAAAAAAAAGGAAAGGAAAGAGGAGACATTTCAATATCTATTCTCCACTTTGAGGACTGAAAATGTCAGCCCTTATCTTCTGGAGATGTCATTGTGTCTGTTCTGACCAAGGCTTCCTGAGACTGTAATTAAGCACACACTTAGTCCAGACAACTCTTGTTTTATTTCAATGCTGGGAATTATGTTCATTCCCAGCCCATAATGAGATAAGCACCCACCTTTATTTTTTTGAATTGCTGCCAACAACTAAAGTGCCAAATTAACTGTAAAAAGCCAAACAAAGTACAAAATCCACACACAGCTTCAAGTTTTAATCTGAACAGAGCAAACAATGTTGCTTCCTGCAAAGGTTCCTGCCCCTTTGCACTTCCTTTATATCTTATGGAATGGGCAGTCACCTCCAAGCCTTACTCCCGAGTCACCCTTTTTGTCTTAGCTGCTCTTGCCTTTTGGCAGCTCTGCGCACACGCGCACTAGGCACAGGCTCCCCTTGTTCCTCTGCCTTGCTGCTGTCAGATTCTGGAGGTTCTGGAGTCAGCACATAACTCCCAGATAGCCCTGGCCCCATCTCTATATCGGATGCAGGACCCTCCGCAGGCTGCTGGTGGACCACAACAGTGTCCTTGCTGGAAATTCCATCCCACAACTAGGCGACATGGGAGTAAAATGTGTAAGAAAATTATCTTAGGTGCCTTTATCCACTTCTCTTTTGAAAACAGGTTACAAGATAACTAGGAAAAATCTAGTTATGTCTACATTCTGACTTATCTAGAGTTACGGGGCGGGGGGGGAGAGAGAAAGAAGTGCCTATTTGACTGGTACAGTCATACAGAAATAAGAAAGAAAAGAAAACCTCCCTCCGGGCATTAATACATCTTCTGTTTAGCGGGACAGAGCTGATGATGAATCTGTCTAACATGAAAGAGAAACTGTTTTGCTTTCTTTATCCTGTATATTGTTTCAAGTCCTACAAAAGATTAGCATTCTGTGCTGTCCTTACATGCCACATGCTCTTTGAATCATTATGTCAATTTGGATCAGCACAAGATGTCCTCATGTGTTCTTTGTTCTTTT